AAATCCACTTTCCTCACACAAGTTCTTTAGTGTTGGGTAATTCTGAAAAAATGTCATCTTAGATGGGTCTGTATACACTCCCTCTCTGCAACTCAGGAAACTCGCCTGTTGATAGACCAATTTAAACTTCTTGGGATTCAGGTTAAGGCCCTCTTTCCTCATAGAATCCAGAACTTTTCTCAGCCCATCATCAGCATTATCAAAGTTCTTCCTATGTGTGATTACATTATTTAAGGAGATGAGTATGATGTTCTAGGGAAGTTCAGAGAAAGCACACTCCATTAATCATTGAAATGTAGCAGATGCATTCAATAATCCTAATGATAACACAGCAAATTGCTACAATCTGCAAGTTGACAAAGTTAGTAAAGAAAAGACCATACTTGTTAATATCCAACCTTAATATCTAATGTTAAAAACCATTTTGATCCAGATAAAGTATCCAAAGTAGAGTCAATAACTGGCAGTGTGTAGTCATCCTTCTTTGTAAATTCACTCACTTTCCAATTGTCAGGCAAAATCTTGTGAATCCATCTTTCTTCATCATAAGTACAATAGGTGATGAGCAAAACTAGTACTCAGTTCTATTACTCCTTGTTACTTCATAGCTTCTTTCTCTTTAGGAGCCTCAGTCTGTTTAGCAAGTAGGATTCATCTGGCTAACTGATTTATTGATGCTGCATTTCCAATGTTAATCTTATGAAATATTCTATTTATTCGGCTTAAATCATGAGGTCCATTGGAGAAGGTAGCATTATATTCCATGAGCAAATTATGTAAGTTGTGGCATTCATTAGCTGTAAAATATTCATAGCTCCTATAATACAGCTCTTGCTAATGGGATAGTAAGCTGTTCTTTGATGAGGATTTGACATCAGATTTCTTACAAATGCCTCAAATGTGACTACTTCTGATGCTCTTTGATGTAGAAGTACTACCTACAGCTTCACATCTTGCTATGCTCAATCAAGACTTGACTCAAATTTCTTGGTTTGATGTGTTCATGGTTTGGTTCTAATGATAACATATTAAAATCCATGAGAATTTTTCTAACTAATAATTTCTCAGGACACACTGGAGTGTTTGGCTCAACTATGTCACAGTCACTAGATGTAAATTTATTCCTAATAAACCTTGGTATAAGTATTTGACTTCTTAGTGATACAATAATTGCCCTCCTTGTTGTTTCTGGAAGTATTAACTGGTGTAGTAATTGTTACAAAGTTCACATGGATTTCCTACTCAGAGACTGTGAAGCTCTCTAAAGCTAGCCTAGCCTCACATCCATATCTTCACATGAAATAAGTCCCCAATATGCACACTAACCCAATGTCAATTAACCATACATCATGAGGTGTAAAGAAGTTTCCCACTGTAAGAATAACTTTCAACTTTTCTCTTCACTGGAAATTTATGTCTGCTTGCTGTTTGCATCAATCCATCTTCTTTCTTCATCTCCGGAGGTAATTTCTCATCTTTCATTATAAGACATCCTATGCATTTGTGGACAGTTTTCTGTAAATAATGAACTTCTTATCACATTTACGCAGATGAAGCATTTTATTTGGAACTACGTAAGTCTAGCTAAATCTTGTTTTCCAATGTCTGGTTAGCTCTTTGTTGCTCATTTGATCAGGTTGGACCCAAAGATTCCTCTTTATAGTTTTGCATCTTCAATTTATTATCACCTGTTTATTCCTCACATTCTTGGCTGTAATAACCATGTTTTCCACACTTATAACACTTCCATTTCCTACAGTTTTTGGTCTGACTTGAAATATCTATTGTCTTGTGGTTTATTTCCTCCATTATTCATAACTAGATGTCTAATGAATTCTTTTAGTTCTTCTAGACTATCATCAAGGAGAATGGATAATTCAATACTAATTGATCTGATGATCCCATAACTTCTAGATGGTGCATTTAATTGTTTATCTGAGGCTTTAATGGATTCAAATTACATTGCCAACTGTAGAGCTTCCTTTAAAGATGTACACCTCTTTGCTTCAGCCTAATTCACATATCCTCATCTGTTATGATGGCATCAGTGAATTGATCATATGACAACAAATCCATCATTTCATGTGGAGCATCCAGGTAAGATAACAGGGCAAGACTTTCCACATCTTCCCCATGTTTGTCTAAAATCTCATTTCCTACACACTCTGCTCCTGAACTGTTTTTAGATAATTCCTTCTGGTGTTTCACTCTGAACCTGTTGGATAAGGCAGCTACGAACATTTGAATAATTATGGTTGTCAGCTGGAAGGTTGCTTAATGTCATTAAAACTGATCCTTTTATGTGGGCAGCAAGATGAATGTTGTTTACTCTTCCATCACTCACTTTAGAAATTTGCTTCCCAAGGTACTTTTCCATCATAGTCTGTTGATTTGTAAATTGGGTGATTTTGTTTAACTGGTCAGCTAAATTCTGGAACTGAATTGGTAGCAACATGGCTGGAGTAATCCAGGAAAGTCCTGTAATCACATAGTACACAGCTCTAGTAGTAACGTATGTAGATCAAACAGGTTCTCCTATTACATATTTTACAGAAATTGATTTTTAAGTTGGACTCCTTGGGTGGATGCAGAAAGAGGTGTGGTTGGTTTGATCTTTGCATTTACCAATTCCTTTGTTTAATGTTTTATTTTGTCACTGAAGTATTTTTCCACCTCATTGATCTTGCTGCTATATTCTTACTCTTACTTCACAAATTTTGTTATTAGAGACTTTCTGTATTTTGTTGATGTTTTTCTTTGCTTCTTCAATTTTGTCATTAATACCTTTCTGTACCTCTTTATTTTTGTTATTGTAATCCCCCTGTACATCTCCAATAACTACACTGATCTTGTCCTAATCACATTTATTTTTGTTCTTAATTCTACTTTAAACATTATGTCTCTTTCTTTCAACTCCACTCATAAATTCCCATCTCTTACTTCTTGATCTTTTTTAATTTTTCTAAGTCTTTCTTCTTGGTCTTTTAATTTTTGTCTTATTATTCTAAGTTTCTGTCTCTTTCTTCTTAATCTTCTTCTATGTTCTGTCTTTTTTTTGCTTGTTTCTTCTTTTCACTGGTTCATCACCTCCATCAAATTTCCTCTCTCACTTCATGCTCACATTCTCACCTTAAAGTTTTGCCAGTTTTATTTTGTTTTCATCAATATAACTTCAATTCTGATACCAGTATTGCAACTCGTTCTATCATTGGGCAGATTCTTTTGGATTATTTGGTAGAACTAATGAAAATTCAGTTTACTATCTATAATAAATTAATTAATACCTTCAATATAAAGCTTGTGGTAATAGCACCCAAAATGCATTGGGAATATCCCATCTATCAAGCAAAATCTAAAACTCTGAAGTTAAACAAGTTGACCATCATGGAAAATCAAAACAAAGGTATAGAGGTGAGTGCTTAAATTCACAACATCTCATCTCCTACTTCCTACTGATGTGGGAAGGCAGTTACCTTTAAAGTCTAAAAGTAGAGATAAAACCATCCAAAATTTCTACATTAAAAAACTACCAACCACCACACTTATAAAGGTCTTAAAAAAAACAACTAATAAATAGTCAAAAACTTATTCAAGTATGACATGGGAAAGCTCAGCTACTTGAAGTTGGTCTTTCCACTCCTGGCATACTGAATAAGAAACTGGTTTTGTAACTAAGTTAGTTTATCAAGAGTGACCTGGAATAACTAACAATCTCTCAGTAAGGAGTTTTTCCATAACTGGAAGTTTATCATTTAAATAGATTTATATTTGTTATAAAAATAGAAAACTATTTTTTTAGTTGTCTATATATATATTATATATATCATTATTTTTTAGTTTATTTATTGATAAAGAAACATTATACTATAAATAGATATTACTA